TGGAGCACCCTGGTCTAGTGGAGGTTGTCCCTGCCCATGGCAGGGGGTTGGATCTCGATGGTCTTTTAAGGTCCCTTCCAACCCAAACCATTCTGTGATTCTATGAAAAGAAGGTATTAATTGCTTTTGCATGGGTCTGTCAACATCTAAGCCTCTAGCTACATCAGTTTTCAAATCCAAGAAAGCCAGGTAATGTTTTGTTCAGTCATCTTTATCGTTTACCGTGTTCTAACTGAGCAACTTGTCTTGACAGAGGAAGCGCACTGCGCACGAACGAGCCAAAGAACTCTACAGCTCTGGGGAGTTTTCAAGTGGCAGAAAGTGGGGAGATGATGCTCCCAAAGAAGAAATCGATACAGGTGCTGTGAACTTGATTGAATCAGGAGCTTGTGGGGCCTTTGTTCATGGCCTGGAAGATGAGATGTATGGTAAGTGTTAATTTACTATGGAGTGAGTAAAGGAGATGTGTGCTGGCTAATAAGCTCTGTGTCTTTTGGTGTGTTGTGGGATTTTTTTTGTCAAAATAGATCACTTGGCTGTTGTGTTCAGTGTTTTTTTGGGGTGGTTTTTGGGGTTTTTGTTTTTTTTTTTAAAAAAACGAACCATGACTTCATGGTGGTGGAGTTTTATTATTCCATTGTGGTCTCTGATATGATACTTGTTTCAGAGATACTAGTGTTGCACAGAATTTTGGAGAGAAATAGTCCATTGAGTAGCCAAAACCCAATAGCTGCCTATATATGGTAAAGGCTTTTAGTAAAACACCTGGTAAGCAACCATTTCTTGTGTTACTCAGAAACCCACTGGGATTTCTTTTTATTGTCTTAAATTTAACAGCTTCACGTGGCTTTAAATTGGCAACATTAGTTGCTGCGGTTAGAAATTGGTGTTTTCTCTGCAGGAAGGAAAATCTAGTATTACAGAACTTGTTTAAAACGTGGCACTACAAGGAACCTATGTCTGTGGAGCCCTGTAATTGGTCATTTTATAAACAAAGTAGCTTCCATCCTAACTAAGGTTACAACTAGCAGAGAAAAACCCACATATTTTTCAAAATATTTCAGAATCCACCAGCTACAACAAATAGAAGTTCTCTTTTTCTGATTTCCAACCCAGTTTTATACCATTTGTTTATAGCCAGTCGTAGCTTTCAGATGTAGCTGTTGCTTCTCTCAGGAACTGGGTTCCCTCATGAGTTAATAGACTGCTTTCATTTTGCAAGGAGCTAAACAGGCTAAGCTGCTTTTAGTCTCTGCTGATATAAAAGCTTTCCTCTTGGGCAGCTAGAATGCATTGTTCTTGAAAATTGGTGACTGGATCTGTGTGTTTTCAGGTACTTAAATTTCAGGTGAGGTCTTGCTTATATTTTTAGCAATGTTATTGGTGGGTATTTCCATTAAAGAAAAAGAATTATGTTCTAAGGTCACATTTACCTGTCCCTATTGTGTTGCTCTCGCTGTCATGCCAAGGTGGACTTGGAGGCCGTAGTCTCTTTCCAGCAGATTAGATCTGACCTATTCTTTTAAACCGGTTGAATTATGAGTGTCAAAATGGGAGACAGGCATTCCTGAGCTCCTAAGTTTGGCTGTAGCATTGACCACACTGATGGCCTCTGGGAAGTCTGTGTGCTGCCCTTTCCAGCCTAACTTTCCCATGGGTCAAGTGAAGATTTATATTTAAGGCTATTGAGAATGGCTGGTATTTGCATAGAACTGTGAAAATGCCAAGCTCTGAATGTTATTCCTGAATTTGCTTTTAGTGTTACTGCAAGGACGAGGCTAAATTAGAAAGTGCAAAACCACCGTAATAAAAGTATCGCTGTAGATTGTGTTGTAAAGGTTGGTTTATTGTTCCGTGACTCCTGCAAATAAAAGCATGTTTTTCTAATAGCTAAACTTGCCATGAAACCTGAAAACACACGTTTTTGTATTTTAACAGTAAAAAATATTTCACTGGCTCAGTCCATAGAATCAAGGCATGGTTTGGGTTGGAAGGGACCTTAAAGCCTATCTAGTTCCACCCCCCCTGCCATGGACAGGGACACCTTCCACTAGACCAGGTTGCTCCAAGCCTCATCCAGCCTGGCCTTGGACACTTCCAGGGATGGGGCATCCACAGCTTCTCTGGGCAACGAGGTCCATTGACCTGTAAAACACATTCTCCAGTTTGTTGTGCAGTAGGTGTTGTGGCAGTGTGGTACTATTGGAGACAAGTGTAGATAGTGTTGATAAAATGGGCAGACGTGGAATATACACGGTTTTCTAAATAATGTAGTTCTCTCCCTCCACTGCTGCATTTTAAAATACTGCTGAGCTCTCCCTCACTTGCAATGCTGCTTCCTTTCTTGAATTCCATCTTGTAACCTCAATCTAAATTAGCATGTCAGCCTATGAAGGCAATATTGGCAAAATGTTCTTCTCCAATACCTTGGTCATAATGACCACAGGGACTCATAGCTGTGACAAAACCTTCGTTACTGGATGAGCAAAGGTCCTGCTGTGTTTGCATTTTTGTACTTAATCGGAATCATCAGGAAGCGAGTATGTTCTTTAAGAACAATAGGCCTGAAAGCTACACGAGTTTAAATAGATGTTTTCAAGATGAGCTAATATGAATGAAAAAAAAAAGTATGTCTCAAACAATAATGTGTGCAAGACACCAGATTAATTCTTATTTATGTGCCAGGACCCTAAAATGTTATGGAAGCTAGAGAGGATGGCTGCAGGGAAGAGAATCTCATCTCCACTTAGGCATGTTATATTTGGGTATTCTTC